CTTTTCCTTGGCTGTTGACAGCAGGAACTCCGGATGGTCCAGCGGTGGGCTCTTCGGGTGCGGGTTTATACAGTTTGAGGTAGCAATTTCTGCATATGAAATTTGCACATATCCACATTTCACTTTTTCCTTCACCGCATGAACTTGAAGAGCTTGGGTAAGATTCCTCTTTAAAGCATTTGAAACCCACAAACAACAACAAGAACACTTAAAATTCATCGTTTATAAAACACTGGCTGTACAGAATATCTTTGGATTAACAGAGCTTTTGTTTCCTTACTGATTATTTCACTTCTAAGTTCATCCTTAAATATACCACCATGCATTGTACCTACGAACGAACACCTTACCTACCAAGTTTTCCATATGATTTTATCATGTGCTCTGTCTAGGTAGCTATTTACTTGGTGAAGTATTCACTTTGAATATACAAGCCTATTAAAGCAGAAGCAGAAAATTGATATGGATTATGTGACTATGTCAGCTATGTACCAGACGCAGGGTAATCTAGTCGTATTGGTAATGAACGAAATTTCTAAACATGGTAATTTCAAAAAATCGTAACTCAAAAACGAAGGACAACGACATCGCTGATTTTTTTTATGTGTTGTGTAGAAAAGCCTAAATTAAAAAAAATATAAAAACGTTTTACGCCCATTGTCTACACTGGGCTGTATATATCTATATATTCATATTCATATCTATATATTCATATATATATATATATATATTGTTTATATGTATATATTGTTTATATGTTGTATATAATCCAGGAAAACATAAACTCGTCTAATTTTACGTTCATTATGCTACGTTAAATTAGACGAGGTATACATTCCCGCGGATGGAGCGTATATTCAATATCAATATCCATTTCGGATTTTCGTTTTTCTTCCGACGTCAGTTGTGGAGGAGGATGATACAGGGATCGGCATCAGAAACGACAGAGTGACGTCGATACTGTGGGGTTCCTCCGGTTTTATCGAGCTGGAACTTTGTTACCTAGGTGGGTTTCCGGATCCATGACTTCGGTTTTGTTGCGGACCGTTTTCAGTTGATTGGCAAAGCTGGGGAATTTTTTTCCGAATGTAAACAAGAAGGAAAAAAGGCAGGGCACGCTAAAATTCGTTTATCCAAATTCTATATTGTTGAAATAAACATGCTTTTGATATTAATTCAAACATATATATTTTTGTTGCAAACATGTTTTTAATTTATTATGTTTATAGAATGAACATTTATATTTTTGATTTATATGAACAAAATTCGGTTCCTGGAAGTTCCGACAAGATTTGAAACAGCCTGTTTCAAATATTTTCTCCAGCACTTCAATTTTATTAAGTCATCGTTGTTATTGATATTATCTAATACATTAATCACTAAGGTCTCATGATCGGTTATTTTCAAATTAGTAGCCGTAACTGAACAAAATTCCATTTAATGGAATTAAAATTGGAATAAACGTGGTCATTTAAAATTCTACCAACCGGTGGAAACTAACGATTTTAAACTAACGATTTTAAAGACTAGCCTATTGGTCCCAAGTAAATCGATTAACGTACCACATTCTAGTCGAAATTCTAGTACTAGACTATGTTAGTTTTGATTCACTTTGAAAGTTTGACAGATACAATGAGGGGTTCGTGGATTTTCCTATGTTTCGATGGGTGCATCAATTAGCTTGGGACCGAAGAGAGTACCAGCAACAATCAATATGAAACAATCGATTTTACATTGACTCACTACTTGACTATCCTATTGGTTCCAAGCAAATCGATTAACGTACCCCATTCTAGACGAAATTCTAGTACTACACAATGTTTGTTTTGATCCGCTATCAAAGTTCGACAGATAAAATGAGGGGTTCGTGGATTTTTATGTTTCGAGGGGTGCATCGATTAGCTTGGGACCGAAGATAGTACCAGAGCTGAGCCAAAAAGTTAAACACGTTTCTGCGGGACCTACTAGTCTTAGAGTTACCTCTAGGGTACCAGAGCTGAGTCAAAAAGTTGAGCACGTTTCTTCGTGACCTTCTGGTCTTAAGGCCAGCGCACAATGTATACGTTTTCGGGTTTTTTGACAGATAATGCATGGGCTAATTGTCAAAAAACCTGAAAACGTATCCATTGTGCGCCGGCCTTTAGTGTTACCTCTATGTTTCTACTGTGCCTTGAAATATGCGTATATTCATTAGAGTGGGTTATCGTTATATAGAAAAACGCAAATTTTATCTCACCAATCAAGAACAACCTTTTTTTGGTTCCATGTGGAGTCCCAAACAACTGTGCAAAATTTGGGGACGATTGGTTGTAACTCGGCTTTCCGCATTGCGTTTGAAATTTGTATGTAAATTAGTATGGGAAAACCAACTTTTTGCATGTTTATTCCTAGCGACTACAGTTTTGCATGAACCATGCAAATATGCAAATATAGTCTACCAACACTGTCGGTGTACCAATAGGAGTCAGATTCCAAACTGAAATATTTTCGGAGTTTCTTATCTTGCCGATTTGGTATGTTCAGATGAATTTTTCAATTTTTCAAAAACAATTGCTCTCATATGTTGGAGAGGGGGGGGGGGGGGGGTAATAACAACAATCAATACGAAACTAACGATTTTAAATTGGCTCACTACTTGACTAGCCTATTGGTCCCAAGCAAATCGACTAACGTACCCCTTTGCCTTTGGTTTTTTATTATTTTTTCCGTCGATCTTGTTTTCCGTGCTGAGCACCAATGCTACCGACGTGCCAGGAAGGCAGCTCCCACACCTGGACCCTACCTATCGACCCATCAACTCATGAACCGGGGACCAACGGCTTTACTTCCCATCCGAAGGAAGGCGTGATCAGAGATGTTATGCCTCAGAACATCCCGGCGGCGCCGACTGGGATTGAACCCAGGCCTGCTGGGGTGAGAGGTAATCACGCTTACCACTACACCACCGGCGCGCTAACGTACCCCATTCTAGTATAAATTCCACTATATTTGTTTTGATTCGCTATGAAAGTTTGACAGATAAAAATAGAAATAATATAACAGTTGGACTAATAATTCAAACAATATCTCCTGTCTAACAAATGAACGGACAAGTGGATATTAAATATTTACACTACAACAATTTTCGTTTTAAAAACTGTATATAGTAAGCCCCCACCCCGCTCTCTAACTTCGCTTAAGAGATTGAGCAAATGTTTTTGAATAATTCATTTGAACATACCAAATTGATAAGATAAGTTATTTCAGTTTGAAACTTCACTTCTATTGATATGAGTGAGAGGGCGGGGTATAGAGGTAACTCTAAGACCAGAAGGTCCCGAAGAAACGAGCTCAACTTTTTGGCTCAGCTCTGGTACCATCTTAATCGATGCACCCCTCGAAACATAGGAAAATCCACGAACCCCTAATTTTATCTGTTAAATTTTAATAGCGAATCAAAACAAACATAGTGTAGTACTAGAATTTCGACTAGAATGGGGCACGTTCTTCGATTTGCTTGGGACCAATTGGCTAGTCAAGTAGTGAGCCAATTTAAAATCGTTAGTTTCCACTGGTTGGTTTCAGTTGGGTTCTAACAGTGTTGATTCCTTTTCGTAATTTCGACCGGCTTCATGCAAAAACCGGCAAACGAATGGAGTTGCTTCCTTGATGGTTGCCAACGATATGGCTGAATGAGGGGTGAAGCTAATTTCTGACTTATCAAGAGATTCATCCGAGACCTAGTTCAACAACAATATTTGCTTCAGGGGATAGAACTTTTTTTAGGGGCATTCTAGCACCACACATCCTTCAGCAAAATTGTTAGGCACTTCCTGGGCTATACTTTACGTATTTAGATGCGTGGTTTGTGTAATATTGTGGTTCCTAGTAATAACGATGCAAAAAAGTATATTTTCGCATACTAATTTTAATACAAATTTCAAACGCAATGCGGAAAGCCTGGTTACAACCGATCATCCCCAAATTTTGTACAGTTGTTTGATACCCCAAATGGAACCAAAAAAACATTGTTCTGAAAAAATGATCATGATGACTCATCCTAATATTCATCTACCGTTTGTTTTAAATTGAAAAAATAGGTAAACGCTTCAAATGATTCGAATTATAATTATCACGCCAATGGGTATTAAAAACACCAGCCGATATATTTAATTTACTAGAATCAAGGAATAGGTCGTATGAATAAAAGTGTTTGCTTTACTTTTCCCGTAAGAAAAGCACGGGAAAGTAAAGTAAACTTTTTTTATTCATACGGCCCAATGTCTCGAGCCAGTTCTATATAACTTCAACAAAAAGGTTGGTCACTAGCACTGGGAGAATGATACAAAACACCATAATTACCCATCTTCATGCCACGTAGTAGTAAGCGTGATTACCTCTCACCCAGCAGTCCTGGGTTCAATCCCAGTCGGCGCCGCCGGGATGTTCTGAGGCATAACATCTCTGATCACGGGAAGTAAAGCCCATCAACTCATGAACCGGGGACCAAAGGCTTTACTTCCCTCAAAGGCGTGATCAGAGATGTTTTACCTCAGAACATCCCGGCGGCGCCGACTGGGATTGAACCCAGGCCTGCTGGGGTGAGAAGTAATTCCGCTTACCACTACGCCACTGGCGCGGCTAAAAAAAAGATAATATTATAAACTATACCTATATAATTTGGAAAAAATTTTCCTGTATAGAAACTTCAATAATTGGTTTCAAAACAATAATTTATTCGTATGATTTCCATCAAATCTTCCAGGAAACATGGCGCTGCAGTGTTTGTCGTAGGAAAATGGCATCGAGAGTATTCATTCCACAAGAATCAACTGATTCTGTACTTGAGATTCCAGTATTGGAGACCCTGCAACGACGTCACTCTGATGTCAAGCTAGGATCGACTCTGTGCTTAGGAGTGGACAATAGTACAGCATTGGTTCCTCCCAGAAGTCCCGAGCTGAGAAGACATTCAGACGTGTCACCTGCTTCCCTTAAAGAACTAGAAAAACTCAAAGCAGCTGATACAGAGTGGAAAAAAGGCCATAGTGCAGCGCCTAGCAGATCGTCCAGCCCTCCGCGTCGCATGGAGCTAGAGACAGCAACTTCCCGAATAGCATCAAGGCGGCCCTCTATGCGAATGACGAGACAGCGTAGCTATGATGATGAAATGAAATCTAACAATGAATCGAAAATAGTAGAACCTAGTCTAGGACTACCCGCTCCCATGCCTCGAAGGTATTACATACTCAAAAGTAAACACATTTCTATCATATTAATCCGGTTTGTATTGTTTGCAGAAAATCAGCATACGATGTTTATGCTCCAGGAGTGCTTGCGAGTGCTTTGCAAGCTGCAGCATTGAAAGAACCTGAGGCTCCAGGCTCTCGGAGACCATCGTTCAAGATGCCAGTTAATGATAATAGTTTAGAGCACGAAGAAATGCCTAGCCCAGATCACATAATACAATCAGCACTTATTGTAGACGAAGAGCGGAGAAATAAGCGGCGAGGATCGCAGTTGTTAGTAAAAACTATGCTATCCGACGAAATGGTTTCTGCATATAAAATACATTTTTTTTAAATTTCAGGCCCGACATCTCTGCTTTACGGAACAACCAGAATGCCGGAAATCTGCCGATTTACCAGTGCCCAGCGCTTGAAGATCTTGAAGCTCCTAGACGACAAACATCTCTTGATGGCGAAGCTATCAAAATAGTGATTCATGATGTTGACTCTGGGCCGCTTTGTGCTTCAAAGCGAAGAGTTATCCTCCAAAAAGATCCAGCTGATAAAGCACATAGAAGTAAGTATTGGTTATGGACGTGTCTCTCGCGGTGATTTCAGCGACCTTCTCAGATTTTCATGAAACTTTGTGCAATCTTTCAAATTTGTGCAGTCATTTTTCTCTCGCCTTATTTTTCCAAACAACAATATTTAATATTTTTCAATAAATCATGACACAAAAATGTCTCTTCTAGTCGAAATGGCGACAGAGACAAAGCTTTAGGAAAATAACCGGCCTTTCCAGGAAAGAAGATTTACGATAAACAATGTTGGTCGCAAAAAGTTAAAAACTTAAATAGCAAAAATATCAATCATTTTCCTTTATGTATCTCTCGTAGAATGTCACGAATTCAAATATCCTCCCCGAACAAGTCAAGCATTACTCTAACATGTTCGATCCAACGGGGTCATATATGACCCCAACACGAAATCATCTGTGAAAAATCACCGTTTCGAGATAATCACAAAATCATTCTATGGGTCGGCAAAAACCGGCACCGCCGGTTACTGAGATCTCAGCCAAATTTCTGTTTGTTAGCTGAGATCTCAGCAAAATTCTCGTTAAACGAGAACAGGTTGGGGAAATTCTCATCTTTCCCATTGTTTCGGTTCGCGAGAAAATCAGTGCTAACATTTGAAAACGGCGCAAAAGCCATTTGTAAACAAATGGTTTGTGGGCCCTTTACTCACTACCCGAAGAACGCCCACGCAAACCAACAGCATCGTCAGGAAGGGGAAAATTTCCCCTACCCGATGTTGCTGTTGTGTCGCGTGGGTGTACTTCAAGTAGTGAGTAAAGGGCCCACAAACCATTTGTTTACAAATGGCTTTTGTGCCGTTTTCAAATGTTAGCACTGAAATGGCCTTACAATTTTTGTTTACAAAATGGAATTGAGGCCTCTTTAATTGTTGGTCTTGGTTTGTTAGCTGAATCTTGTTGGCATGTTTTTCACTGAGATCCAGCAAAATTAAATGCCACCCTAGTCGGCGGTGCCAATCTAGGCAAATAAAATTGAAATGTATATAATAGTGTAGGTAAGTGAAAAATATGCAAAATAGTATAAGTGTAAAATATGCAATACATTAATGATCTGATTTTGGCAGCCCCTTCTTCAGACTTTTTTCTTTCAATAATTTCACATAACCGTAATTCCAAATCTTTCTCATTCATCTTCAGATGAATGTTTTGAGACTGGGTACTGCGGCTACTGCGTAGTCGTTCGATTTTATTTTGCAAGCTAATGGAAAACTGCTTGAAAATTTTCTTAAGTTTAAGTTTAAGTTTAAAACTGTTTTGCTCGTTCTCAGTTGATTCCCGCCAAGAGCTCTGAGCCAGAAGGACTCGAGCCCCCATGACTCTGTCAAAGTTTGTTTACATACATGTTTTGCCAACGTATGTTTTACTGCAATTGAAAACTCAGCTCATAAAACCTATGCTGGTTTTTATACTTTCATCACTGAGCCTGCTGGTTTTTATATTTAAGCTTAACATTAAGAATGTGTTATGACAAAGAAAGGAGAATTTACTTGAGATTACAATGCTTGACGATGGATAAGAACAGTAACTGCAAACAACAAATTGCTAATTTTATGACATAAAAACTCCGTTGCTTTATAAAACGTGCGCATTACTGAACATCGAATGATACAGAGTCACAATAGGGGAAATGATTCTAATGTTGGCCTATATGGATCTAAGATTGGGCACATCGCTAAAAATCTGTTATTTATCAATTTTATCTAGATGAACGCGTCATTGGGACGGTACTAATGGATATTTTTGGTCGCTATTGAAAATTTTGTCGATTGCTGCATTTAAGTATGGGCCCAAACTAGGGGCATTTAGGCCGACATTACATCCATTTCCCCTGCATATGTTAATTTATTGTTTTTTTATTTTTTACCATAACCAAAATCGTTCAAAATCATTTGTCATCAATTCTTTTTTATTGTTAATTCGTTTTAATCTTTGATCGGAATTTTCAATGAACCATCAGAATGTAAAATAATATTTTTTCAAACCCTTTAATAAGCAGTTATGAGTAAAGTTAAACAAATGTATGAGTTTTAAGAAAATATTTGTAGTTTTATTTGTTTTCTCCTGGTAGGTAATGATGATCAAGATTTGCATTCTGTTAAGAAGGACAAAAATATGTTAGATATTTTTTGACAAATAATTATTTCAAGGTAGCGGCGCCGGTGGTGTAGTGGTAACCGTGGTTATCTCTCACCCCAGTAGGCCTGGGTTCAATCCCAGTCGGCGTCGTCGGGATGTTTTGAGGCATAACATCTCTGATCACGCCTTCCTTCGGAAGGGAAGTAAAGCCGTTGGTCCCCGGTTCATGAGTTGATGGGTCGATAGGTAGGATCCAGGTGTGGGATCTGCCTCCCAAGCGTCGCTAGCATTAGTGCTCAGTACGGAAAACAAGATCGACGGAAAACAAACCAAGGAAAAAAAATATTTTAAGGTTTAACATATTAAATCTCGATGAACATTTCAAAAGGTCTTATCTGCTTTGATCAATTCTCTTCATCGACTTACTCTTTGGATAACCACTGCAATGTGATCCACACGAAGAGAATAGCGGTTACTGTTGCCGTCATCATTCTGTATGCTTTTGACGTAGGACTACGTCTTTCGAGAAGATGGGGGTACATTTTATGAAAACCGAAAAATGAAATTATGATAGATTTTGAACGTTAATAACTTAGCTGCCCCTGAACCAATTTCAATAATTTTATCACCAATCGATCAAAAACATTTCTACGCATCGATAACAATGCTTTTGACTGTTCATTTTCAAATTGAAACTATTGAAAAAGTGGTAAATGTCAAGCATTAATTCGAATTAATTCGAAATAACTAACAAATCCAACAATTACGTACATGCATGTGCTGCTTCCCCAACACAGTCATCAGAGAATATTTCCTAGATGAAACAAGTCGAAGTGACATTCGCCTCCGATCTTCGGGCGTGTACGAATAGGGAGGATGCAATTGCGGAACATTTTGTTGCCAATTCAGAACCACACGCCCCCAACGACCACACGAAATTCTCTCCGTTTTTTTTCCTTGGATTTGTTTTCCGTGCTGAGCACCAATGCTACCCACACCTGGACCCTACCTATCGACCCATCAACTCATGAATCAGGGACCAACGGCCAGTGCTGTAAATTCTCAAAATCATTTGAGCATTTTTGATGAAAATGAGAAAAGTAGCTTTTCGCTATCAAAGGGGACCTCCTCCGAATGGGTGATATCAGTTGCTTAGTCATTTGACGAAGGCATGGATCATTCTCATTTGAGAAACGCTATATATCATTCAATTGAGTGTAACCTACACACAAACGAAGCTCTGGTCGACATTCCGGCAAAAAAGCGAAGCCAACCCGACACCAACCTGACTTCTATCAAACCCCAACCCGATGTTGACCCGACATTGACCCGACATAAACTCAAAATTGACCCGACAACAACACGACATTGGGTCGACATTGACCTTAAATTAGCCTTACATTGATCCGACATCGGGTCGACTTGCCTGTTCGGGACCATTTTGCTGGATTTCTTCCATACTCCACTGTCGCATATCAAATGATACTGAGTGACTCAATTGACAGTGACAATGAGCTTCGAATGAGAAAGGGGCTCTTCAAATTATGGTCATGTGAGAATTCGTTTACACAGAATTGATTGAATGGTTGTATTGGTTCATCTTCAATCGAATGATATGAAAATTTACAGCACTGCCAACGGCTTTACTTCCCTTCCCCGAAGAAAGGCGTGATCAGAGATGTTATGCCTCAGAACTTCCCGGCAGCGCCGACTGGGATTGAACCCAGGCCTGCTGGGACGCTTACCACTACACCACGGGCGCCGCTGCTCTCCAGAGTTGTAATCTTGTAACCAAACTTGGAAGCAGGGGATACTTATAAATTATATTCTAACTCTTTTCTGAAATGAACTTGGTGGCCCTCAAAAGGGCCGTTTTGTTAAGTTGGTGATAAGCTTTAACCTCCGAAACAGTAAAGAGTGCGTCCCTGTCGCTTCAGAGCGTAGACGATATCCATGGCCGTGACGGTTTTGCGCTTGGCGTGTTCAGTATAGGTGACGGCATCGTGGATCATATTTTCTTGGAATACCTTCAGCACCCCTCGCGTTTCCTCTTTGATCAGACCGGAGACACGCTTGACACCACCACGTCGAGCCAGACGACGGATCGCAGACTACTTTAAAAATGTACACCATAGTCAAATATACAATTCTTTGCTTCACCGACAACCATTTTAGGCGACTAGCATCAAAGTTGAGGAAGTGAATCTATTAACGGGTGTTCAATAAAAAATGAGATTTTTTTCAGTCATATAGCCAGTAGAATAAAAAAAAATTCACGAATTCAGTTTTTTTTTATTAAAAACATAATGTTTATTCTTCAAAAACACGTCAATGAATATTGTAAAAGGGGCCCTGGTCAGCCGTACGACGCAATTTAGTCGCGATGCTCTCACTTTAATTACAGAAAGGTATTATTTTATTCTACAAGCGCTGTGATCTCGATATTTGTGTTTCATTGGACAGATATAAAATGGATGGGCAAAAGTCTGGATGAGGAGAGATGATTGATTTGTATAGCTGCGTTTTTCAATCGATATAGAATTCCATACTCCTTGGCAATTTTCTTGATGGCATTGATAATAATTTCGGGAGAAGCTTGTTGCAAGAAATCAAAATCTAAGATTATGAACTATTTTAAAGATTAAGATTTTAAAGAAGATAAGACCAGCTCCAAGCCAAATGGGATAAAAAAAAAATAAAAATGTAAGGCTCGACCTACTCCGATTTGCATGAAACATTGCATAATTATGTGTAATTTGCAATCATTATATTAAAAAAAATCGGCTATTTTGGATCTTGTAATTTTGTTCAAAATGGTGTATTTGATATTTTTCAATAAATTGTAGCACCAAAACGTCACTTCTGATCGATATGACGTTGAGGTAAAGTTTTTTGAAAAGTAGAATAATTCTCGGTATTTTGTTTTCAGTAATTTTGTGTGAAAATTAAAAAAAAAAGGGGTAAAAACGGAATTTTCTTTAAATTGAAGACATTTGAATTAAAAGATGAACTAGCCTTCGGTTTAAAATCTCTATAATAAAGTAAAAAAAAGAAGATATTTGAATTTTTGAATTTTTACTCAAAATCAAATTAAGAGCAAAAAGAGTCGTTACACGTTTTTTTAAGATTTGTTATGGGTTTTTCAAGTGACTTAAGGTATATAATTTTGATTAATAAGCACAAATGTTCATAATTACGCAAATACAGTAGTAAGAAGTTTTCTGAGTGAATGTCGGGGGTTCGTGGGCATTTCTCATTCAAGGTTTACAACTTTGTCTTAAACAAAACTTTGATAAATTTTCTGTCCATTCGTTTCTAGAACGATTATTTCGATTCATGCAAACCAAAGAAGGCCGAGTCTAATCGATTCGTCGTTCGACGTGGAACTAGTCATTTGCGCCTTTACCGACTAGGCTATCTGAGGAACAACATGACTACTAGATGATATTGTTCTTGTCCGATTTTTACACATCTTCCCTGTTTCTAAAATACAGGAATCCCCCGAATTTCTCGGTTCTCCTCCAACTATTTTTCGACTGTCCTCCAACCGATCGAGCTGATTTTTTTTAGATGACTAGTATATGATTGACATTAATCACAAACAAAAATTGTAAAACTTAATTGGTTGGAGGACAGCCGAGAAAAAGTGGTGGGTGGACAGCACCATCCGGGGGATTCCTGTATCAATATTGTGGGATATTTGACATTTTTTCAGAAACCGGAAGACGCAATCTTGAACATGGTGTTTGTTAGCGCTTATGCATTAATATTATTCTTGAGAATTGATCCCATTTGATTTTTTTTACCATTTACAATTTTAAAAAATGTGTACAAAGCAAACAAACAAATCGTACTTATTTTATTTACTTAATTTAGCTCGCGGCTTCGGAATGCGTGTGGTTGGTGGAAAAACTGGTACAGATGGTAGGCTTTTTGCCTACATTGTTTGGACTGTTCCCGGAGGACCGGCGGAGAAGGGTGGTTTACAGCAAGGTGACAAGGTATGAAATAAAGGCATACATTTCGTCAAAGTAATAAAATGTAATACATTGGCTTTTGCAGATATTGGAATGGTGCGGCACTTCACTGGTGGATCGCAGTTTCGAAGAAGTTTGTGCCATAATGGATAGAACTGGTGACGTTATCGAGTTATTGGTTGAGCATGCAACAGATTTTAGAATGTGTGACCTGTTGGATGACGGAACATCAGGGAACCCAAACAATCAGATGAAGACGAACTCAGATATGTCGAACCTTGGTTTTACATCAGGTTAGTGCTTTTTTAACCTTCATTCGAATATGCATTGGAAGACAAACGTTTGAATGATTTTATACTCTTACCCCACACACAGATAATCATTCAAAAAAAGAAAATGAAAACAGAAACACCCTAACCTCCACTCCCTCTCTCAATTGTTCATGTGGTGTGTTCAGAGACCAAGTTGCACCCTTGTACTGGGCGTCTATGCTGTGAGCAAGCTTACTTCTCGGCAACGGAACAGTCGTGCTGTGTCATCACCGACACCCAGTTTGCAGCTTTGGTACTCTGATTGTTAACAGGTCGTATGAATAAAAGCGTTTACTTTACTTTTCCCGTAAGAAAAGCATTGGAAAGTAAAGTAAACTCTTTTTATTCATACGGCCCAATTTACACGCTTTGATTGCTTAGAACTTAACTGGGTCAGCCTCGTCATTACGGTTATCTGACATTGACATTGCTTGCTTATGAGATTATAGCCACAATACTTCGTTGACGCATCTGTCAGCATTAATATTTGAATCCAATCAAGTTTACTGAACAATCTCTAATGTTGCTTCAAAAATCTAATTCCCGACTTACATACTTTGTTGCAGAAAACGAACCAGTCGCTGATAAGTCTCCTTCATCACCAACAAGGCGAAAACTTCCAAAAACACCGGTATAAATCAAGTCATTTATCATCATTATACTTTATATGTATTTAATAGACATAAACCAATCATCTTAATTTACATAATGTAAAACAAATATCACGAAATAGGATTGGAAAATGTAATTGGATTTTATTTGAACAGTCTGGATGGATACCAATCGACCAATCGTTAGTATCAAAGGAAGTTGGTTTAATATTATACTTAAAATAACATGTACGTTCAGAATAATGCTCTTTGTTAAACATATTTATTTACGACATTCAAGTCCTTCATTCGTACAGTTAAAATTTGTATTTAATCAATGCAGCAATCATAGCAAATCATGGAATAAAAAAATACTCAATGCTGATTAACAACAACAATTTTCCCATGCTAGTAAATATTTCGGCAGCTCACTTAAAAGCTTCAAAATAGTTTATTTTTGTTACTACATTATTAATTACTTGAAAAAATCAAATGCATTAATTTTGCATTATTCTATTTACAACATAATTTGCTCAGGATTAATGTCCAGTTGAAGTGTTTTAGCAAATTTTCCACAATAGAGACGTGAATTGCGTTTTGCAAAGTTTAAATAACAATAATAGTGTAGTTGTTTGATATCTATAACGATAGCATTTACTATTAGCAGTTGACGATAATAGAGCAGAAGAAAATTGGCACGGCTAGTATTATTTCGGTTTTTCGTTCAGTATAATGAATATGATTTCGAAGTTTTCTTATATCTGCAAATAATTCAATTAGCCATTAAAAGGAGTTTAAAGCTGTTAGTTATTCGTGCGCGGTGGAATTTAGACGAATTATCAGCGTATCAAGAAAGCGACTTTTTGGTATCACACAAATCTCACAAGGGCTAAGTTTGCGTTGCGATGACGTAAATTTGACAGATAACCCATGGGTTAACTGTCAAATCCACGTAAACGCAAACGAAACGTATCCATTGTGTGTGGCCCTAGTGTAAATGTCTTCATCAATTCCTTACCAATTACCTATCATGTAGAGGTAATTGGCCAGGCCAGGACCCAGGAGCATGGTTCAGGATATCCCTCCCTAATAGGTCATTCAACGAGTTATTCAAAGACTTTTTACATCCTCATGACAATTATTGGCAAATAATAGGGCTATAGGAATTCGATAGGAAAATTATTTCGATCAAGGAAAAGTGTAAGCTTTTAATCAGGGTGCCTTCCATTCATTTTGGATGAAAAAATGTTTTATTAAATTATGAAATATTAAGACATTACAGTAGTATTTTGTTTGTGTAAGCAACAAGAAAAGACTGTGAAGTTTGTGTTTGACACATAATACCTGCCAATTTTGCTACACTGCCCATAATCGCATATCAGTCCCATATGGATAGGAAATCAAGCAAAGATGGGACTGATATGCGATTATGGGTAGTACACGAGTGTCGCAATAAGCGATTTTGTCATTTATCTCACCCACTCTTCGCTCTTCACTCTTCGCGAAGCGGCGATTAGAAAATCGCTCATTGTGACTCTGCCAAAGCTAAATTTGCAGGTTTTATGCGTCAAACAAAAATATTACAATCTTTTCTTGTCACTAACACATACAAAATATCATTATAATATCTTATTATTATATAATTTAATAAAACATTTTTATATGCAAAATGAATGGAAGGCACCCTGCTTTTAATTTTATTCATGAAACTACCGTGCATTTCCAACTTAACCCTTTAAATAGGACACCAACATTTTCAATGCTACAAAGAGCGAAAATACTGTTCTTATCAGGGATCCAAAGGCTTTTCGAATGATCGAATAACTAATATTTTCATTAGGGGTTTCAAGCTTTTTAGCACACGGAGAACTAATTGAGATACAAATCTTTCGCGTAGTACCGATTCTAAAGGCATTTATGGATAACATATTTACATACCTTACATGTACAGCTTAGATTGTTATCAATAAGATTTTCAATACTCTTCAAAGGAAGCTATGATTTTTAAGTTCTACAGGATAAATATAGTATTGAACAATGTCTTGAAAATCTATATGAGTCCATAAAGCTCATGCGTTTGAACTTGAATCTTACATTTGGAGATGTTGTACAACTATTAACTGAATAATATCGATCATTTCCAGGAATGCGAGATGTTGAGAGAGGAAAGTAACTTTTATCATCTAAAACGAGACATTTTCCTAAGTAATTTCTCGTCATCTAACGGCATTGGGTTTTCACGTTCGAAATTTGTTGATCAGTGTATTCTGGAGCTCTTGATTTCTTTCGACAAACTAATCCTATCCTTTTCAACGTTTATGAGATTGCGTGCACTTGAATTTTTTCGCAGCGTACTTATCGAATCTTTGTTGTTGAACGTATTGTGTGGCGATCGAAGTCCTTTTTTATTGATTATTTTGGCTGGTTTTCCAATACCCCTCTTCCGAACTGTTATCAAGGATGTCAGAATACGATAAACAGTAGAAATTGGTACATTTTCTGATTTGAAATGATCCACCGTAAACTTTTTCCCACGATTTTCGTGTGTTTTGAAGAACTGTACAATGCGCTCACGAAGTGCTTCTTGTTTTGATGCCATTTTGAACACAACTAAGCATGTAAAAAAAAAAAAAAAAATCTATAGTTTTGTGGAGAGAGAGAGAGAGAGAGCATTGATTTCCCTGGGTACTGCGGACTCACTCAATGCGCTTGTCACTTGGGAGCCAGTCAGAACTGTCAAACGGGAGCCAAACATTCAGAAGCAACAAACTCAGTTACTGTTCTTAGCTCTCGTCAAGCATTGCAATCTCGTAAAAATGATTCATACTTTTTCATAACACATTCTTAATTGTAAGCTTAAAGACTAAAACCAACAGGCTCAATGATGAAAGTATAAAAACCAGCATAGTTTTTATGACTTAGCTGAGTTTTCAATTGCAGTAAAACATACTTTGGCGAAACATGTATGTAAACAAACTTTGATATCAGTGCTAACATTTGAAAACGGCACAAAAGCCATTTGTAAACAAATGGTTTGTGGGCCCTTTACTCACTACTTGAAGTACACCCACGCGACACAACAGCAACATCGGGTAGGGGAAATTTTCCCCTTCCTGACGATGCTGTTGGTTTGCGTGGGCGTTCTTCGGGTAGCGAGTAAAGGGCCCACAAACCATTTGTTTACAAATGGCTTTTGCGCCGTTTTCAAATGTTAGCACTGATATAGTCATGGGGGCTCGAGCACTCCTGGCTCAGAGCTTTTGGCGGGAATCAACTGAGAAAGAACAAAACAATTTTAAACTTGAACATATTTTCAAGCAGTTTTCCATTGGCTTGCAAAATGAAATCGATTTACTCCGCAGTACTCATTGATGTCCATAAGCTGTCTCTTTTTTGTGGACATTTGTGGTTTGGTATTAGAGAGTTGAAGCTATTCTCATTTTTTTTGTTATAACCCGATAGATTAAATTATTGCGGATCCTAAAGGGCCACGCACATTAGATCCGTTTGCTTTGCGTTGACGTAAATTTGACAGTTAGACAATAGATTTAGCTGTCACTTTGCCGCAACGCGTCCGATCCGGATCTAATGTGCGTGGGCCTTAAGGAAAATTCCGTCCGCCGGCTACCGTAGAGTTCTACCACAGCAAGCGAAACAATTACGGAAGATTTGATACCATTTTGATGACATCTATTGATGTAAAGGAGAGTGGATTCAAATACTTATCATGATGTTGTTTAATTCTTTCGAGCCTCTGACATGATATTCCTAAACTTACGTTTTTTTCTTCCAAAATTTGCCGGGTAGTTGTGAGTTGTAAGAATTAAGGGAGACTTGATCCCCTATTTATGATATTCATTAGAAAATTAATTTTTGTCACATCCCGTGATCGAATGTGTCAAAATTCTGAGGGGGTATCCTCAAACAAAGTTTTTTTTCTCGCTCATATAACAGGTTTAACTAAGTGATCCTTACTAGATCAAGTCTCTCCTAACTGAGGTTTCAACTTCAACACATACCGAACAAAAATGAATTTAAAACAAAAAAACAGTACAAACTCTATCATTGGTTCTATTTATTCCCAGCTTTTAACTGTAAAAATTTGATACTTTTTGGTTGAGTATCCAGAAATATATTAAGAATTTTCATGCTGGCTAAAATAAAAATAATTCTAAGGGATTGAAAACATACAAACTTAAAAATATCAGAGACGTTGAATAGAGACACGCATAGACTGTTCTTCTTTTTCTTTCCTTTTATTTAACATCGGTCTCTGTTCCGCAATCTAGTGCCAATCACCGACGGACATCGATTGCCATCCATTGACGGCAATCGAATGTGCAAGAAGGCAGCTTCCACACCTGCGTAAGATATCGCACCCATTCAACACACATGGGCCGGGACCAACGGCTTTACTTCCCTTCCGAAGGAAGACGTGACCAGAGATTTTTATGCTATAGTAAAATCCCACCGACCTCGGCTGGGATTGAACCCAAACCCATTGGGGTGAGAAAGCAGTCACGCTTACCTCTACACCACCGGCGCCGGAAACGCATAGACTGAAGCAAGAAACACCAAACGAACCGTCAAACGCTGAACCAAACGAGTAAAAGTAAATAATCATTACTGTTCGCTCAATTCACTAGAAAGGAGTATTTTCTCAAAGATGAAAAAAGTGTTTAATTACTTTTACAAAATATTTGATATCTGTTATTTATTTACTTCTTGTTGATTCAATTAAATACAGCATTGATTAGTGTTGAAAAAAAATCGAATAGGAACGTTTTATTTAGTTTTATGGTAATAAAAATGATTGCGCTGCAAGCAAAACAGTAAAATAATACATGGAACGACTATCACCTCGCGTCTCCGCTTTGTTTTTGCAAAATTTTGGCGCGCACTTCATTTTTATTCAGTTCCGGTCGAACGTTCAAATTTCCCCAATAGCATTGTGGCACTGTATAAAAGTCATTTGAAGCCACTCGAAGAAACATGGTTGCCAGTGACATTGCAAAAAGATCTCTCAAAAACCGTGCTGCTG